GGTAACGGGCGAAGTGGGTCATTGGTAAAGAGAAAGTGGAAGAAAACATCAAAAATTGTGCAATAAAACATATAACTTCCATTTATAATTTTGTACTTACTTTTAATTCTCTCTTTGTTTACATGTTTCTTTCAATAAATAGAGAACAAGGAATGAACCGAACTGAAAATTTCTTGATGTTCAGAAACTTATTTACATTGAGCAAATGGGTGTTTCCATTAGTGCCATTTATTCGTATGATTGCTAGCACTTCTGAATCTTACAGGTCTGGCTATTCTCACGATACTCTACCGGGTGGTTATGTGGTTTACACGCAGACTTCACGGAACTTTACGTGAGTGGATGTGTCGATAGGATGCTCAACAAGAAGGAAGGTGAGCTCTGCGTCTTCAGCTCTTTCCTGTTTCCAAAGTGAATAGTTCTCGTTGCCTAATACTGACCGCCTCAAATATTTGGAAATGCATTTAAAAGCATGACAATCTCAAAAAAAAGTTAATCGTAGTCATGTTTCTGACATGCACTGAAGAAAACTAATTTGATTTTTCTGTTTTTTTTTCCAATTTACTGCAAGTTTTACTTTTCCCATCTTTGAGGAGCTTATGTAAGTTTATTGTTGACGTTAAGGAGCTCGACGGATACGACGATACTTTTATACGACGTTTCTACGAGAGCCTACCGCTCGTTTTATCTCCGAATATCGTCATGTTAATCGAGGTGCCACATGGATTGCTTCGAGGTGTGAGATTGAGTGACAAGGTCGCGCTCACGCTATTGTTCATCACGGTCATTGTGATTATTGGTTCAGACATATCTGTAATGGACGAGCGCCGACGTCTGATGAATTACCATTGTGTTTCGACCCGAATCTTGGATGGGATGACGTCAGCCTGAATGAATTTCTTCACTGTCCCTTCAATTTGGCATTTAATCGGTAATGGAACATCTGCCAAAAAGATGGACTGGGTGAAAATCAACATTTTAGTCAAACGAGAATGCTCGCTGATTTGACTCTTGTGAATTGCTATGCAAGGAATGGTACGGATCCTAGAACGAGAGACCGTATACTTCTAGAGAGTGCCAAGAAAAACTTGAAGTAAGTTAACAGTTTGTTGCCTAAAGGCTGTATGCTATCCCTCAAATGATGAAAAGTCCTCTCAAAAAAATGGCTTTTTGTATATCGCTTTGCTGGTCCTTTGCATATATATCTCACCGGGATAACCCTGCGAGCAAGCTGGCATCCTTCGTCAGCGCATTTCTTTTTCCAAAGAGTTTTTTGGTGAAGTTTTTCCATCCCTGAAGGTGTAGTATACGGTCTCGAGTGCGGACTGTATGCACGTTTTCTAATCTTATGTTTTGGCTTTTGAAGTTGACTCAGGCTCCATCCTCTGCCCGCCTGCCATCTAGCATTTCGCGGCAGAGAACATGGAGTTGTTGAAAAACGCGCAGGTTAGTTACTAGCTCAGCCTCAAAAGTTAAGGCAATTGAATGGCTGCAAGTCCGGCTTGTTTTAACCTTGAGCCACGCCAGCCCATTGTGTGGGCTGTCTTCTCTCCTGAGCGCATAAGAACCTTTCGGAGCCTGCATTTCGCGGAAATATTCATTTAGGTGGTTTCATTTTCATTTTTCTTTTCAAATTATGCAATCGATTTCTTTAATTTATGCGAGGTGCGGCTCCTTTTAAAGCAACAGTTCAGGGAGGGTCCGAAAATTTCAATGCCACTACTACTGAGGGATACACGAGCCCTAGTGAAGAACATATGCAGTGGAAATAATAAACGAACTTACCTCAGAAACTCAAAAACAGGGTGGAAAGTCCCTCAAACATGGGTGTTCTTGGGGATTTCCCCAATCCCGCCCCCTTGCCGGCCGTCATTGGACGCGTCGGCAATCGTGCTCGTTTGGGACCACAGGGAAAATTGATTGAAAAATGGAGCGCGTTTACAGCGGGCACGTTCAGACAACTCGTCCAACGTGCGTCTTTATCCATTGCTGAGCGGCAGAGGGAGAGTACCTGTCTAAGACCCTCCCCGACGTTTTTTTCCAGTTTTTCATACATTAATCGTCTGGTTTTCATCTACAACTTCATTATTGGTGGTTTTTTCCCGCGAAACCGTTCCTGAACTGTTGCTTTAATGTTGCAGATAAGGTACTTAGAAACTCACCGAACAGTCCCCGCGCGGCCGCGGAAGGTTAAAACAAGCATATCGGGCCTCCAATTAGCTTAAAAACTCTTTTTGGGGGTGCTGTGTGTTTGTGCCGTAGATAATTAGTGGATACAATGCGAAGATTCAGGCGCTATCGCAAAGGTACGTGGGTATCCATTGTCAGTTAGGCTTATGAAAAGACAGGAAAAATGGGTGAAAGCGGAAATTGCTCACATACCCTGGAGTCTCTCTTCTTCCGCTCAAGGCGTAATCTCGGTTTTAACAAAAAGGAGATGTTTTACATGGTTTTGAATACGTTCTCCCCGTATAGCGCCAGACTTCCCTTATAGCTTATGAAATTGCGCACCCGCTCCCAAACACCCAAGGTGCGGAATTTCTGAAAATTTGATATAGGAGAAGTGATAATTTCCAGAAACATGGCATTTTTCGGGATCAAGGAACGAATGGACGACAGTCAGCGAATGTTTGAGCGGCTATTTAACCTCAGGTTAGTTTATGAGCATCGAGAGCGATTTGCTTCTGGAGCTGCTGTAGCAGGAACTGCACAACATATTTGTCTTTCTTGTTTTTTTTTGTCGAAGTAATACTAAGTTGTTACGTAGTTGAAGAGCAGTGGTCATAGCTCTACCATGCTCTGAGTTTACTATACTAACGACAGCACATGTTTCGAGGGTTTTTTTTTGCCGTATGGGACGCGCGCGATCTTGAGGGCGCGGCCAAGCAACCATAAAGACGTAAAAATAAACAGAAAGTTCATTGTCAGGATAAACACCGCACTGTCTAATTGATTCTGATACACGTCACTAAGTTGGGTTTCAATGATATTTAATTGTTTTCTGTTGCTCATGTGAAAACTTGAGGCCGTGGAATAGAATTGATGCTACTGATTTCGATTTCAGCTTCAATCGCCGTTTATCAGCGTGGAGTCGAAGCAAGTCGAACGATACAGATGTAAGCCCGGAACAAATGAGGCAGATACGAGAGCGCAATCAACTGGATATCGAGCTGTACGATTACGCTGTTAAACTTTTCGAACATCGACTGGCCATAATTATGAATCGATCTTTGTCTATGGTAAGTAGTTTTACGATCTCAAAGTTTTCGAGCTCTTTTCGTGGTTTTTGCAACGGTATATGGTACCATTATTGGATGTTCAGCTCCATGATTTTGGAAATGTACCCACTATAAAGCAAAGTCGCCTTTCATTCCGAGAAGATTTGATTTCATGCAACCGCATCTTCTAGTTTGTCTAACGCCGCACCAATAATTCCACATTTTTTTCTGGCACCATGCAGGCTGTTGAGTAAACTTGTCCGAACGACCGTTCAGTTGGTCACCTTCATCTCCGATGGGCGGCTATTTTAGCGTGGAAATGTTGTTTCCCAAGGCCACCATCGTTCCCCTCTTATCAGTAAAAATGAGCTTATTGCCTGTTGAAAAGACTTTTCAAGAACACCAGGCCTACTTAGTTAGGAATATCTCAAAGCGTAGACCACTTCATATTGTCTTATTCAGAACAATGAGATCCATGATCGATTTACTTCATTCGAATTCGACTCACCATCGAACCAAAAAGAAGTGCAGTTTGTTCGTGACGATGATGCTGCAGCGCCTCCAGAACGAGTATTTCGTAAACCAAAGAACAGTGTGCTCAATGATGCTGAGTATGAGGGTGATGACGACGACGCTCATGCTTCGTATGAAAACACTGACATCGAATTTGATCGGGTTTAACAACTAACGGTACAGCTGTAGTTGAGGAGGCCAGCCGGCGCTCTGCTCGTCCCTGTCACCTGCCATGCGTGGAAAGCTGTAGAGATAGTTCACAATTGTACTGTAATTACTGTACCAAACGAGGTGATGGAATCTTTATTAACTGGCCTTACGTTTCGACCGCTTCGTCTTCTTCAGAGGCCTGGAGATGGTCTGAAGCTTTTGATTCGTTAGCTACTCGATCAACCGCTTACAGTATTCTCGACGTCAGAGAACGTCGAGAATATTTCCGAGTACTCTTAACTCACCGTGGATTTCACCAATGCGGAGCAGAAGCTCACGCCCTGTGTCCGTCGACGTCAACGAACGAATGAGCTCCATCAAGTCTCGTAGTGTCATATAGGTCAAAATCTGTCAATCTGCACGTCACAACTAACACAT